ATCGGTGTCATTGTGACGTCAGACGCTGTCGCTGGAGAGCGCATATCGGATTAGTGTATGTTACGTATATTGCGTATATCATAAACGTTTCACAGAATTGCTTCTACACTGAACATGATTAAATATCTTGTCCCATAAAATATGATTAACTGAGGTAGTTTGCTACTATTAAAAACATACTCAGAAATCCCTGAAGGGGGTTGGGTTATTGTAACGTTCACAATTCAGAAATACAAATATAGGGTCACCGAACTAAGTTTTCCACAATACCAACTATGCTAAAAAAAGTGATATGCATGCAGTGTTATTAGGGCTGTCACTAAAAATTGGGGAATTTTAAATATTAGTATGAGTTATCCATGGAATAATGTGTTTACATGGTATTCTATAGAAAATGTTCCAAAATGGAAGCTTTTTTGATTATTTTACATACGTTTTCTTGAAAACACGTCCTTCTTTCCCCGCAAAAACATTAAATATGAATGACGTGAATCATCAAACAATATTTTTTGAATGCTTTACTGTGATCAAATTCTCCATATTTTAATAGCGAACTATTGTAGGAATATCATGTCATTAATAATGAAATCATTTAGACCATTATTATTGCTTATTTTCAGTTTCCACTACGGCTACATGTTCAGACCAAGTGGTTCCCGGGTCCCAGTAACAGATATTACAACAAATCTGTTTGCACTAGGAAAAGATGATAAACCACCAAAGGAATACAAGTTAAACTTTGTTGCGGGTAAAACACAATAAAATGATAATGTTACTTAAAAAGTTTCAGTAGAAACACAGGCTTTTATTGTGGGTTATAATATTATTACATTAATAATGAATTGCAGTTGTGGAAAAATGTGCAAAATGGTATAAACATATTTGAATACATTGGTAACAAATGGTATTTTTTATAAATAAAAACGAATCGTTATATATTTGTTATCAGGCGGAGAATTATATCACCTACGAACCGACGTCCAATCTTCTGTTGCTTTGAATTGCGGAGTCAATTGGAGTATGACGTCACATGGAAGAATATGCAAATTCAATTTGAATGGTACGCTAGGATGGGGTGTGAGCGACTTTGCTTACAAGTGAGTACAATACAATCAAAGTGTTATAATGTGAGTTGATCTATGCTGGATATATCGTGAACCTTTCATTTTAATTGTATATTGACAATCCTAAAAAAAACAACTCATGAACTTTCCTAACATCTACCATACTATGCCTTATTCTTAATATACCTTAATGTAAATGGCCGCCGAAATCACGTTTAACGCGAGAGAGCCACGAGACTTGTGTTTGCCGCTCATATAGTGTTTCATTATGAGACTCCCCTGTCACTACCTCCACCGTTCGAAATACCATGGTTACATGGAACGAATGACGGAGAGAAATGGAAATCTATTTATGGTGGAAAACATGTCTCGTAGCTCGCCTCCTTCAACGACTCGGAGATCTCGGTGGCAATTTTCGTCAAAGGTCCAATAGCTGTAACGTTACATCACTAAATAAATGCCTCGTTTATTTACCTTGACAGAAGGACGTCCGTTGAAAATCACATTGAAAGACAAAAATCGTTGCCGCCTTATGTGACATCTTGTAAGTTGAATAAATACGTATTTCTGACTCCTTTCTCGTTGTGAAATTATAACTGCACTTAGTGCCGTCAGTTGTGTCTTTAAGAAGTGAAATATACATTGGGAATACAATGTACATTACGCTGTATTATTACAAGAGTGTTACTTTTGAGAATTATTGATACATTTTTTTTCTTCAAAATTCGTCCAATCACACACAGTCATATATAATAAAGTAGCGCTATTTAAAACATACACATTTAATGTCATGGATGTGGAAATGTACCAAAGCGAAATGAACATTCTGTAAACCCCTGTAACAGTATAAACACCCTGGTCCATATGTACATACCAACGTCGCTAGTTACGGATTACGATATTTGACGAATTTCATATGAGTTGTCATGGAGATTTGTATTTTTGCGATGACAGCTGATATTCTTATATGTGTTGATATTGATACGAGTAGGTGCACAGACGTCAGAAAAAGTCGACTTGATAGTTGTACCACTGAACTCTGCCGATTGTAAAGATAGGACACTGGTTGGGGACAAGGCATTTCAACTAGCATGGTTAACTGACCTTCAAGACATAAATGATAGCAAGGTTGAGCAATATAGCCACGTTACTATATTATGCATGCTCGTTACTCGCCATGAACAATTTAGTGATATAAAAAGTGGAAATTTGGAACTAGATGCATAAAGCCAAATGAGCTCAAAGATTACAGTATACTAGTAGTGACCCAGTAACACTGGAAAGCATGCAGTAAAACGTATATGTAACATAGTGCTTGTTTAATTTCAGTTCATTGTCCCAAAGGGAATATGTGTCACAACTTGTGCATTTGAAGCCCAGATTATGGTAGGTATACGACATGTAGGTCATGAAGCTAAGTAGTGGATTTTAA